GTGTCGTGGGCTGATGTGAGTGAGACGTGAGTGAGTTGTATTAATGTAGGCTCCAATTGTGGCATCTAAGAGTTGCCGCAAAGGGGCTTTGTCCAGCGACATGAGCTTACCAGAGTTCCTCCTTCCATGAAGTCCCACCATGCCAGGAGTGGTCAAAGTACACCTACGCAAAATGTCCGACAGTACTGTTGCACATTTGACACTTTTGACCACCAGAGGTATTATAGCTGCTAGCTCATTTTTCCCAAGGGAGTGGCTGAGCGCACATGCCCACAGAACGTCATTAATGGCAGGGTGTGTGTCCTGATTGTAGCTCAGGTTGAGATGTGTCATGGCCAAGGTGGCCAGCTTGTAGGCCCGCATGGGGTAACCGCGGTGCTCCATGTATCGTGCTATAGTAAAAAGCTGTGAATAGCTCATGCCGGTTGTAGCAGCATCTAGAACAATTTGGTAAGCGGTCTCAAAAGCTATGTGATCTTTTTCACATAAAGTCAGTGCAGAGAGGGCACAATTTTGAGGATCCTTCATGGCACACTGTAGAGCAAGTGTCCTAGCACTGCCAGCCAACTTCTCCTGCTGATGGCAGTCCAGATGCAGATGGACAATGGTGCTGTTTGACATCACTGTTGTAGCAACAATACTAGTGGCTTCTGTTGGAGTGAAAAGTGTAAACCAGTTTTGCATGATACTATCCAGTGCATAAACACCTGGGGAGAGAAAGAAAAGATGAGCCACAACTGATGAAACGAGCAGATACAGACGTTCGGCAAGGGATCACACCTGCAGCAGAGTCTGGGAGGCTGCCAGTACCTCCAAGTGGACACGCTTCAGCAAGAAGGGCTGAAGCAGGCAGCATGGCTGGAAAAGGATGGTTAAAAAAGGCTGCTGTGCAAGCTCTGTAGTAATCACCGAAACGCAGAGAGCAACAGAAAAACCTGCAAGATAAGCTTTGATCTCTCGGTGTGACAACCAAGCTGTTTTACTTGTTATTTAAGACATTCTGGGTAACAAGTTCTGGCTCATTTGGTCTCAGCACATCACTCAGAAGCAGTCCTCACACTGAACACTTGGAAAAGGCAATTCTAACTTCTTTGCTCACCGTGCATCTCAAGGTACAGTGCATGCACAAAAGAATGTATAGGTATGCTAAATGGCTTTCTTAATAGAACACCATGGTGCACCTTAACAGAACACACTAAGCACACCTTAAGAAAAAGAAGAAAAAAATTCCAGCCCCCACCTCCTCCCAACAGGCTCCTCAAGATACATCTTCTATCAAATTGATATGTGCCTGAACATCAAGACCCTTATTAGGGAAACATTCTGAGCAATATGAGCTGGGTATTATCTGAAATAGGTATTTTCCTGAGTATCATGTTAATCCTGGTGCGTGTTTGCGTGTTTGGTGGGGGAGGAAGAGGGAACTATTGGGTTCCATAAAATGAACCTTATAGCCAACTAGAGTGCCGTGCTGTAGCTAGAGGCAGTTTACACACATCTGTGAGCCCACCTAAACCACACCCAAGAGGTCCTAATTTTCTCTGTAAGACTGATGCTTCCCATGCACCCCTTAACTCTTGTGCAATGATTCAGCATAGCCAGAGAATACCAGATCTTCATTTAAATAAACAGATTCCTTGCTTTAGCAGCTTGATTAAGTCTCAAGAGTACGCTGCATGACATTATAGGTTCTTTACGGTATACTTCTATTACAATATGTAAACTAATTTAAACCCAGCATTTTATCTGCCAGTATGCAACTGCACAAAATAATACCCAGGCACCAACAGCTGCAAGATAGACTCAGCAATAATTAAAGCAATAAACAACAGCATTGCATGAAACCTTGCAGACACAAACCACTTTCTGGCTGAGGTCACACAAAGGCAGGCTGCATTTTCCCATGCTACTGATGACATTAATTTCCCAGTTAAGCATAAAGCAAAGAATAAACTAATCCAGATAATAAGCAGCAGCAGTCCTCTGAAGTTCTGAATGTCATGAAGCATCTCTGCAATATAATCCAAATCAGGTGTATGAAAAAGAAATAAACACAGTAGGGAAACATGCTTTCCAGAAATAACTTTAGTGGCAATTAAAACTCCTTCCTTATCATAAGTACTTATATTGTCCCCGCTCCCACAGATGCTGATTTTTAATTTTTCTTTTTTTACCGCTACACAGTTTTTAATGCTTCACTTTCAGATTTTGTATCCTCATCTTGCAGATGGTAACCAGGAAGCTAAAGAAGCTAAAGGATTTCTCATCAAGACACACAGGAAACGTATGGCAAAGCCCAGAAATGAACAGATCGTCCTGCTGAGTGTGCTGTTCTCCCACTGCTCCTTTCAGCTGGTTCTGCTCCCAGCTTATTTTCATCTTATGTGGTTAATGATGGGTTTGATTTACGGTGCACACAAGAGGCCTGCACAATGTCATAGCCCCATAACAAAGACAGATTATACTCTAAGCTTGAGTTTACCATGGAACTTAAAAAAAAAAAAAAAAAACTAACAATGAGAACCCCTTCATGAGATCCTATCTGCCACGCTTTAGAAGGCATCTCAACATTTCTTTAATCTGTTCTCTGGTCCTTCTTCCCACAGTTGACCAGATACCTCTCTCAACTGCCTTTCAAAGCCCCACCTGGCCTTTCGGAGCAAGCAAAGCTGCAGCACAATGCAATGGCCCATGGCCACAAGCCTTTTCTCTACTAGAGCCTCAAACTCAAACCCTTCATAGAGGGGACAAGGGGAAAGCTGGGGTATTTTCCAAAGGTTATGCACACCCTCACTCTGAAGGGGAAAGAAGCCATACTGCATTACTCAACTACTGTCTCATTTGGTCCGTGCCTAGAATAAAACATGCATCATTGCTGTTATGTCTTCACACCAAAGGAATTTTATAAATGAACAGAAAGTGAGAGAAATTTGCAGAACCTAGGTGTTGACAAGCAATGTTAAGACCTCCACGATTAGCTGACAAGAGAAGCATCTCTGAACATACCTACTTCTGTTGCACATGTCACCAACCACCTCACCATTTCCCGCCGCCGCCAGTTGAGCGTTGACAGTGTCATCCGCATCACCTATTAAGACAACATAAAAAAAATACAAATTAATCTTGTTGCAAACCAAGGCAATATACCAACAACTAGGTATTTATCTCAAGGTTACGCTGTCTTCAACACAGAGTAACCCTGACTTCAACTAATTCTCATAAGGATCCATAAAGACGTGGAGAAACATAAGATCTCACCATCCATAAGAGATGTAAGAAATGGCCAAACAGCCACTAGCTCCTGCACCAACAATGAAACCTCTCTGTCATGCACACTGGAAGGAAATTTACTTATTAATTCACCGAATGATCATCTGTACTAACTTGCCTAGCAGTTCTGTCAGCAGCACGTGTTTGCACGAGTGTTAAGACTTACTTGCACTGATGTAGCATGTAACAGACAAACAGAAGAACAGAAACCCCTCCTGTACCTGCAGATCTTGCCATGCCTGTGCCAGTAAGGTTCTGAAGGACAGAATACACCTGAGATGCTTCATGCCATTTGGCCATAAAGATGATCTCTTTCTACAGCCAGTTTAAAAGCCTCCCCTCTCCTGAATCACATAACACATGCTGCCATTGGAAATATGGAGAAAAAACCCAAGAGTCTATACATTACTCCCAAATCTAGAGAAATGTAAGGAGGCTTTTCTTTCACACAGATTCCAGTGACAGAGCTGTGAAATTGTTGGTATCATCTCCTCAGCATAACCAGGCCAACCTGTCATTACCGTAGCTGAGGCAGAACCCACGAGTACACTGCCGTTTAGTTTATAGATTTTGGAACTGAGAGGGCTCCTATTACACTAGTCTCTTTAGAAACACCTTGACCTGACATTAGGATTGACTTTGGCTTTGTCTATTAAGTCAACAATCACCTACCAAATCTTATTTAGGAAAAAGGAAGGGAAGAAATGGCAAGAAGCCCCTCAAGGCCCTGCAGAAAATACAGTGCATTTTTGGCAAGCAGAATAATTTTGCTTTCTAGCTAGTCCTACGTATACTCCCAAACCCATTGTGCTGGTCGTCACACCCCTGAACAGAAGAGTGCCCTGCAGCCAGCCACTCACAGTTCTGTCTTCCACCCAAATGGCACAAAGGGGCTGCACGGACCCTTGGTGTGTGTTTACCAGTCCACTGAGCTATGTATCAGAAAACAGAACCTAAGAACTCCAGACAGTCCAAAGAAGTTATGGTCCTCAGTGCTTAAAAGCAATACCCACTAACACTCGGTCGAATTCCTTTCTTCTGCTGTAACAATAACAAACGAGGGCAATACCTGAAGGCCTAACTCCAGAGAAACTTTCAGAAGAGTGATGTCTGGTAAGCTGTCCATGAGTGTTGCTATTTTAAATGCATCCTGGGCAAGTTTGAAGATGTGTGATGAGGAGTGGATATTTTTCTGGATGGATTCTAACACTGTTTCCAGCCTCCGAACATCACCTGCAAAGTGTAAACAGGATCACCAAAATGGAACAAGTTCCCAAAACATCCAGAGATGCATTATAACTGAGCCTGCCACTGCTATGCAATAGAACCTCAAATCAAGCTCGTTTGGCTACCATCTATCTATCTTAATTACTCTGCAAGAACATTAAGTGACATGTTTAAGTCAGTTCAGTTTGCTGTACTAATATCAAGCTCCTGTCAGACTGCAATTTGGATTCCTAAATGCAAGTTTTATAATCTGTTTACTCCATGAAATATTAAACCCCATACATTTATTTAAGTATATAACTGACAGCAATGTACCTTTGGCTGCTGTTAGCATAGTTGATGCCAGCTCACACTGCTGGGACTCGATGTGACTTAGGGTGAACCAGCGGGGATACCGGTTTGGAACAACAGATGCAATGTGGTGTGGGCGGGACAGGTCTCCCGAAGGAGCTGCAGATTCCAGTACTAGCAACCTGAAAAAAGGACGAAATCCTCTTTCATTAAATCATTATTACTTTAGGTTACTCATGAGCAAAACTAAAGCGGCAAGAACACTTGACCTTGTTAGAACAGAACACAATCATAGAATTGTTTTGGTTGGAAGAGACCTTCGAGATCATTAAGGCCAACTGTTAAGCCAGCAGTGCCAGGTCACCAGTAAACCATGTCCCTAAGTGCCACATCTATGTGTCTTTTAAATACCTCCAGGGATGGTGACTCCACCACTTCCCTAGACAGTCTGTTAATGTTTATGAAATGTCTATAATGCCTTTTTGGTTATTAAAAAAAAAAAAGATGGCTAGAAAACCACTTCTCTTGTTGGGGTATCTTACAAGTCTATTTGCCAAACTTGCCTACATCAGTGGGCATCTGCAAGAATTCATGGGAAAATTAGGGCCCCCATTAACCAAGGCAGCAGAGACCTTCTGCATCATGCATATAGCTGAAGCTTTTTGCCCTGCCTTATTTCAGTCTTTGAACCTCAGCTCTCAGGAAGTAAAGTGGAGGAATTTTGTCCTACCAGAGGAGAACATGTAAATATTTTTCAGAACTTGGAACCTAATTTACTCACTTACAAATGCTCAGATTACGGAAGAGGGATACTCAACAAGTCATACAGATCTAGACCTCGCAATAAATTCAGACACGAATTTATGTCCAAGAAGGACATTGTACTGTTCAATTACAACTACATTTTAAAATCCTTAAACTTTAGCATACTAATATTTTATAATGTACCATAATCTGATGTTAAGACTCCCAAAGAGTACTGATAGAAGAAGTTCCCTTTATTGTTACTTTTCAGACTCCATTTTCTAATCTAATCCTGAAGCAAAAACTTCTTTGAGTATGAGTCGATATGCAGCAGTCTTATTCCACCAAGGAGACTTCACACTTAGAAGATTCAAATCAATGTGCCTGTTGTTGAATACTACAATACAAGTGACTACTACAAGGGAGACTCAGCTGGTGGCCCTTACAATATACTGGATATAACCAGTACACCAGATACCATATAAGTGCCAATGCAAAAAGTACAACCGAACCAAGCCCAGTATTTCTAGTCAATACAATTAAGCACAGTTTCAGGATGTGAGTAGTTATTGTGACATCAAATGATAGCACTAAGACATCATCCAGAAGAAAAGCCTTTCCAGTGCTTAGCTTCCTGATCAGGTGAATTTCTAACAGGAAGTCATTGGGGAGGACAAAGGGAATCAGATCTTTTGGCAGTAAAACTGAATATTGAATATCCAATGCATTGCAATATTCTGATACAATATTTCTTATGGAATATCCTCATTTGAACAACAATTAAAGCTTCTTGCAGTTATGTACATGTTCAAGTAACAGGAGTGCATGTCTTTTTTTCACAGTAGGATAGTTTAAAGTTCTCCCAGTTTTCTGAAGGTTCCTGCAGCATATTGAGAGTATTTTTTAGGAATTCCCTGAGAAGGGCAATTTTGAATATATGGGAGGGTATCTAGCAGGCATATATGAATACAACACACCACATAAATAAATATCAGCAGGTTATATCAACATGTGCTTTGGATGCATGTATGTGCTTGCTAATAAGAAAAAATTTCCCTTTTGATTTTTATCAAAAGTAAGATCTATTCTCTAGTACCACTAAGACATCTCTTTATATCGCTTCATATACATAAAAATAAAATGCATATAAACTCTTCAGCTGATTCTTTTCCAAACAGAGAGCAGGGGGAGCAATGCATTATTAGGTGGTTTCAGTAAACAGTAAAAATCCCAACTACCTAATGCAAAAGGGATTATTACATTATGAGTAACAGTAAATAGACAAAGAGCACAAAAGAAGGAGGCTGTTTTGGGGAAATCTTTTGTCACTTTGAATTCTGTTGCCAGCTTCTATGTTCTTTTGCTGTGAAAAGACACGCTGTTGTGAATTGGTGGCTTTCATACAATTTTGGCAAGATTAGGGAACAGCAGAACAAGCACAAGCAGATCTAACATTCTTCACTTTTTTCCCCTTTCAAACGTCAATTATTTAGCTAGGTTTTAGCAAAGCTACCTTGTGATTAAACATCACCATTAAAGTCTGTCTCCCAAAGCCTGGGTGCAATTCAGGCTTAGAAAGGGATCAGCCAAACTAAGCCAAACATTCAAGTTCAGATTCCAAGCGAGCAGTCAACTAGGTCACTGCAGAACCACATTTTCCAAGGCTCTGCTCCGTATGTTTCAGTGCTGCAAGCAGGGAACTGTAGACAAAACTGACCATCAAGGAGAGCACAACTCTGTCCTCACAGACCTGAGGTGCATGCACAAAAGGCTTTATGGCCTCAACTTCCATTGATTTCATACTGTTTCACACACTAAAACAGCATCAAAAAAAAAAAAAAAAGTAACAGATTATTTTGAATAGAGAGTTAAAATACTCCAGAGCTGCCATCACTGGTCATTGACCCACTTAGATATCGAGTGTTCCCTGAGAAACACCTTCTTTCTGATTACTGACGATAAATGAGATGCAACTCAGACATTTTGTTGTCCTAATGACATATTCCATTTAAATCCCCACATTCACCCAGAAGTGGGCAAAACTACTTCACTATGAAGCACATGAAAAGTACTGGCTCAGACCACATCATAGTGTTTAAAATCTATCATTAAGAGCTAATTTATAAAGAATGCCAGTGGAACAAACTGTCCTACCAAACAGCCTAAGCAGCAGATAATCCTGACACTGATGGTGAGATATCTCTTTCCTCATTTCCTCACCTGTTCACATACACACAGAGCCACATGGGCGACAGAACACAGGTGCTAAAGCTGTTGTTATGACAAAACCACGTGCCCCGAGAGGGGGATTCTACACTGGTAAGAGAGAATGCTGGTTTACAGTGGTTGACGAATATTGACTGTACATTTATAAATGATTATACTGTAGTTAATACAGACACCAATTGTTTTGGAAGATGACAGAACCAAATTAATTTCTCCTTGAAGGAAAGAATGTTTCTTTTAGAAAAGAAAACTACGAAACTTTTTTCCTTTTTCCTAACTGCTACTTGTGCTCTTTCTAGACAGCTGTGAATACGTACCGCATGGCTCTTAGTGCAGTTTTGTATGCCAATTCAGCATCATGAGGTAGGAGAGAGGTGAAGAGATACTTGGCAAATGTGTGCATTGGAACGCTCTCTCGGTGGATGACTTCGCCTAAACCACTGTAGGGTCCAGCTACAGGAAACAGAAAGACAATGTCAGTCTTCACATACTGCTAAAACCCAACTTCTGCACCTTTAAACACCTTCAGTTACAACTGGTATGCAGAGACAGTTTGCTATACAAATGGTAAAATTACGCTGCTATTTTATGTGAAATCTATTACAAATATATCACATAAATACAATGTATTACAAGACTATTAAATACTCTATATTCTTTAAGACAACAGGAGAGATGTAAATTGTGTAGTACTAAGCACCCTACCAAGACACATACATATGACAGAACGGTTCCAGTGCTCCACAGGGCTTGTTCAGCAAGCCTATGGTATGCAAAAGTAGAAAGTGATAATTCTAGCTTTGCCTCCACGTAGTTACATTGTGCACTTCATAACAGCAGCATCAGGACTGACAATGACAAAAAAGTTAAATGCAACTATTTCCTTGTTGAATTTTCAATGTTACCGTGCATATGAACTCTTCACATTTTTCCTGCAACTTCAAGACTGTTACTGCTGTTACAGGAAAACTGTGTCAAACAGTTTTTTACTTCAGCAACTACAGGTTCAGGCATTAAATGTTACAAGATACAGAATAAGAACCTTGCACTGAGTATTATTGGACAACCATTGCACAGACAGCACCCAGCAGTCCTAGAAGTTACTACTAGTTCTCCCACTAGAGACTCCAAGCCACCATACTTGGATGGATGGAAGACCATGTGAGCACACTTTGCTGCAGAGTCACGTGCCACTTAGACTGCATGCAGCAGCAGTTCAAACTAACATGGCCAACCCTGCACTGAAGCAGCCTAGGAGAGCAGACAAAGAGAAACAGCCAAGCTGTTTCAGCAATGTTTCACAGACCTGTGTCTTAACACAATATACAAAAATAAAACTCATAAGGCATGAAAGAATTCCATAGGTAGATACTTCTGAAGACTTGGGCTGATTATAAAGGAAATGTCGATGAAGATTTAGTAGGTGACAGCACAGCTCAGTTGTTTAAAATTAAGTTGAAAGCCATTTAAACTAGCTGGCATTATTTCAGTGAAAGGAACCATTTCATCTAGGTTTGCCAGTTGGTGGTGCAGTCACAAATTCAGTTAGGACATGAAGAACACACGACAAAGCATTTACATTAGAATACATGCTGCCATTAACTTAGCAGTGAAGCAAAAAATTAGAAGAGTTCTTGCAGAAGAGTCTTACATTCTGCTTTCCCACACACTCAGATGGTAGCTACATACAACATGCATTAATCTGCATTAACAGCACAGAAATCAGCTTAATATTGGATTAAGCTTTCTCTATTGTATCTACAGGACTTTAACTGTAAAAACACAATTGATATGATTAGCATCTTAAATCACAGCATGGTTTTTCCTCCACGTGAGCTGGCAGTTTCTGTCTAGCCTGGAGTAAACTGAAGCTATTGCAGGAAAGCCAGATTTCTCAGCACACAGTAATGCAAGCCTATCATTGCATGCTGCTCACCACAGCAGTTTTGTAGGTAGTTACACTAACAGATTTCCTGATGTGATCACTTGTTTGCTACTCTAAGAAAACATTAAAAGAATTTCAGTGATTAAAGTAGTAAACTAACATTATGAGAGAACTCCTTAGAGAAATCCTGCCTTCTCCTCCTAAAGCATCCTTACTAGTAAATAGATGCAGCAAATTGATTTTATAATCCAGAGGATCCCTGTAAGGTGGTTAATAGCTGGATCCAGAAAGCAGCTGTTATTCTCCAAAGGCCACAAAGCAGTAGTAAAGCCACACCATAACGGAAACTATCCCCACGGTGTAGCTTCTCTGCAGCTTCAAATGGTACCATTAGTACCATTTGGTAGTAGGTACCAAAGTCTTTAAGGATCTGGGCAAAAACAGTGGCTCAAAGCTGAGAAACCTAAACAACATATTGCACTTCTTCCATCAAAGAGTAGGTTTCAAAAGACAAATATCTTACAGAAAGAAAACAAAGCCTGATTGCTGTGGAACAGTCTTCACAAATTAACATAAAAGAGAACCACACTCCCCACCATCCTTTGAGCAAGCACTCAAAACTTGGACCATGCCTTTGCCTATTTGGTTCCTCTAAAGTTTTTTCTTCTACTTAAAAACCAGCAAGACAACCTCTGAAAGACTGAATCCAAATTAAACCAAAAAGTCTTATAAGTCAATAGATTCCTTATCTCTACAGTCAAGTGATATCCAAAGTATGTTTGATCTTCATAAGAGATCAGAAAATTTTGCTGGAGTTCTACGTCAAAAAAACATCTGAGGTATGTAATGTAGTTTCCACAGGAGTACTACTTCTGTGGGCTTGGGTAAGTGAAGACAGTTTAAAGAAGCAGTGAGCATCTATATGGAGCTACCTTCTAATAGGAAGACTGCTTGTTTTCGAAAAATCTTCACCAGAGTATCATCCAATTCAATTTCCTGTAGCTTAGAAATGAGTTGCTCTTCATTTCGACAAACCTTCTCTTGTGCATACAAGCCATCTGGCATTATTCGTTGCTGTCCCAGCCCTATCAGTGCTACTTCCACAGCCAGTGTTAAATAAGATTCCCCTTCTTCTAAGAACTTGTGTGCAGGTAGGTGCTGGTACTCCAGAGATTTGCTTTGCCCCATGTTCTCTGTAAGGGGTGACATAGAAAGAAAAACACATCAGCAAATCATTCCGACCTATAATCTGCCTACAAATACAAACACTTCTTCAGTATTACTTTTTAAAAATTACTTAAATTGCTAGTGCAATCTCAAAATCCAACAATCCAATCTAAAAATATCCCATCCAATTTCACATGGCAGAAATACACAAAACAATTAGGGTTTAAATTACCCACTTAAGTAAAAGTTTTAATTTTTAAAGTGCACGATTTAAAGTCAGTTTCTCCAGCTTTGTGTTAATGAGGCCAAGATAGGAAGCTATATTTCATTTTTTTTACCACACCCATTTCTGTAACTCCTTAAAGCCTTTTTGTGTAAGAGGAAGGGAAAGGCACTTACACAATTGTATAGATTTTGGCTGAAGCTGGTCAGATTGTACAAACACAACGGGCTTGTGAACCTCACAGCTTTAAAGGATCCTCTGTTCTCTAGCTCCCATTTCAGGCTTTTTTATTTGTACAGTTGTATTTATGATAAAAATGTGTATTATTAACACTAGACATCCTTCTTTTAGTAAAGATTGCTTGTAAATTCCACACCGACGGAGCCTTAAACTGCTTGAAAGAGTACTACTGACATTTGGCACTTCACAGCTACATCATATGACAAAACGCTATTCCAGCCTGTAGCAGTTTAGAGTGTAATTTGGGAACAAAAACTTACAATGGGCAGATGTAAGAAGATGGACAACTGCATCAAATGGGTGTGCTCAACGCATTTGGTAGACTGCATATGCATGTGTAGGAGAAAATTGCTTTTCAGCACATACTGTTTTTATTTCATGGGGTTGTTTGGGGTTGTTTTTTATAATTAAAAACAATATGATTTCCAATTTAATTACAAGTTCTTCCATAATTGGTGGGTAAGATATCAGAAATTCATTGAAGAAAATCTAATTGAATAAAAGGAGTGTTGAGGCAAAGCCTCAACAAGATTGCAGATGTGCATATAAAAAAGCTGCAGGTAGAGCAATAAATTCAGTTTCTGTCCACACAGATAGTAATAAGAAGCTACCACAGAGGTGGAAAGAGACTGTGAACCAGGAATTAATCAGTTAAGCTCCTGGGAAGCAAACACTGAAATTAAAACGGGCGTACACGTTCTATCCTAAATCATGTATCAAAGCTGCAAGACTACTTTCCAATTCATGTCATGTACAGATCATGCATGTGATCAGTTTTAAACGTTTTGCCGTCGGTGTGCGTTATTACGTGCACTGGTAGCTAAGAAGTCCAGTAACACTCTGGGCTGCACAAGGAGGAGTGCTGCCACAGGTCAAGGGAGGTGACCCTTTCCCTCTGCTCAGTACGGTGAGCCCACACCTGGGATGCTGTCTCCAGCTGTGATCTCCGCAGCACATGGACATACTGGAGCAAATCTGTGTGGGGCCACCCAGATGATTAAAGGGCTGCAGCATCTCTCATACAAAGAGAGATAAGGGCGTTGTTTAGCCTGGAAAAAAGAAGGCTCAGGAGGATCTTACCAAAATGTATAAATATCTGATGGGAGAATGTAAAGAAGACAGTGCCAGACTCTTCTCAGTGGTATCCTGTGACAGGACAAGAGGCAAGGGGCACAAACTGAAACACAGGAAATTCCATCTGAGCACAAGAAAACACTTTTTTACTGTGAGGGATCTTACCAAAATGTATAAATATCTGATGGGAGAATGTAAAGAAGACAGTGCCAGACTCTTCTCAGTGGTATCCTGTGACAGGACAAGAGGCAAGGGGCACAAACTGAAACACAGGAAATTCCATCTGAGCACAAGAAAACACTTTTTTACTGTGAGGGTCACTGAACACTGCAAGAGGCTGCCCAGAGAGGCTGTACAGTGTTCATTCTTGGAGTTATTCAAAACCCAGCTGGACACAGTCCTGGGCAACTTGCTCTAGGTGATCCTGCCCTGGGGAGAGCAGGTGGATTAGATGATCTCCAAAGGCGCCTTCCAATCTCAGCAATTCTGTGATCCTACCATTTCCTGCCGTTTCTCAGAAAGAGGAAAGAGCAATGTACGTGGAGAGGGCTCCTGCTATAAAGTCTTAGTTTTACTTCAACTGTGAAATATGGGATTGCCTTCAAGAATGAGGAACAGGCAATTTTTTAAAGTGTTTTCATATTTTACTTCAAACATTTTATCTGCCTTGTTTTTTCTTGAGAAATGCAAATGTGAGTTCTAAAGACTATAAAAACACTGGCTTTGAAGCTGATTCAGAAAGGCAAGGTAGAAAAATGCCTCCTGTATATGAAGACAGGAAAGATTGCTCTCTTTGCTTGGCCTTACCCATGAAGTCTGAGAATCCATGAAAGCTCTCATCATCCACCCTGCAGGCTTCCATCAGGCTACTGAAGAGGGTGCCAATGGGGTCCAAAGGGTGTCCCACCCAACCTTCAAGATTCGTTATTGAGGTTGCTCCTCTGTGCAGAAGTTCTGTAACAGAAAAGATGGAGGGAGGAGGGAGGGTAAGAAAGCACATGTTAGCCCCTCAAAACAATTATAAACTGATTAAAATGCCGTCAGTACAGAATTCAAAGTATTTCCAGTAGCTTCTGCTTAGATGAAGAAAATAGTATCTTTCACAGTGAATTCATTGCCCTTTGTGAACAAGTTAAAAGAGGAAAAGAAAGAAAAAGAGCAATGGTCAAACAGTTTGAGTAGTAGTAAAGTGTATTACGGGCCAAAAATTTCAGCTGCAGTGTCTTTTGACATCTCTTATTCAATTCCAGGAACTCTTCTGAAAATGTCTGCTGAAAAACTACAGCAAGGACTTTTTTTGATAAAAAAAGTCAAAGACGCAGCACCATTTTTACATTTTAAGTTAATCTGATGGCACTGAAATAAACAAAAATATTCTAAAGTATGTTCTGATTTCATAAAAATGAACTTCTCCTACTTCCAAATATTTATTGAAGTAATAAACTCAGGATGACAACTTCATTAAAACAAAAAAGAACAAAAAGTTTAAATGAGTTATATAAGAAAAAAAAATTTTCCTTTAAGTGGATCAAGTGCATTCTTTGTCAATTTAAAATTTCAGTCAACAAATACCTTCACAGATACTTTGTTCTGTAGCCCTCACCCATCATCTGGTTAGAATATGGAAAAAATGGTTTAGCAAAGTGAGCTGAAGGAAGTATGGTTGTGGTAACAGATGTTAAAGATTCCCCAAATCCTTTCTTTTACAAAGACTCTTATGGCAATAGCTCGCCTTTGACTACAACTCCCAACTTTTTTATTCCTGGACACATACACACAAGTGAACTATGAGAGACACATTTAAAACCATTTACAAGCCATTATGGGTGCTCTATTTCACTGTCCATTACACACTAACTTGTACCTGCCTCTGCTCCCTTGTTAATTAAGTGCCCTCCTTCTGAGGAACCATATGCGTTATCACAGAGCTTTTAAATCCTGCTTCTGCCCTATTTCAATGTGTGGGGCTACAAAATGAAATACAGCCACACTGTCAGAAGGGTGGAGTTTTTCTGAAGAATCCACTGATACATAACATGAAAAACAAACAAGTAAATCATGGTCTTACTAACAAACAGCATGTACTAAAGACAAAGGCAAAAGCCAGTAATATTCGCAAAGAGGACTAATCACAGTGACTTCTTACTGACTCACGTTCTCTTTATTCTACTTTGCCTAATTATGAGCTTGTCTTGTGTCATGACACAGGCTTCAGTCCCCCAGACATGTAGATGTTTAACTTTAAATCAAGCAAGTGGTTCCACCGATGTCAGACCAGTCACATGAATAAAAGCTAGGTAGAAGGATGTGGATTTTGCTGAACTGAAACTGAAAAGCTGGGCTGTAGCTGCAGAATTCATCTGCTTACGGAGAAGACCAGCACATTTTGTGGTATTAAGATAGTGTTTTTTCAAGATTCCACACATTAAAGGAAAAGAAATTAAAAACGCAGAAATTGACAATATAGAAACTACAAACTTCTTTGATTCAGGGGAGAATGGTTCACATTTCATACATCGCATTTTGTAGCATAATATAGGTTGACAGCTGTAGAAGTTGCTCACAGGGAAAAGAACCTCACAGAAGTATTACTTAAATGCTAGCTGTGTTAGCAACTGGGAGTGAAGAGGAGCAGTATTGCGACCAGCACGCTTGCAGCAGACCCTTCATACTTGCCACTGGTATGTACATCAACATGGGGTATTCTCTTCTCACCTCCTCAGACTGGGAAGCTAGAAAAGCAGCAAAGCTTTTAAGGGAACACATGTTAAGTAATGATATATTGCATGATAAAAAAAAAAATAAATTAGCAGATCAACCTAAGTAATAATGAAAAGTGCTTTTAAGTTTTGTTAAAATCTAGGATCCACGATAGTGCTCAAAAAAACCCTCTTCCTTGCGTATCATAGGGGAAAAAAAAAAAAATGAGGCACACAGGAACTGCTAGGTAATTTTTATTTTTCAGTCAGGTGTCGTCAACCTTATCTTCTAAATGCTCATTTCTGGGAAAATACCTGCACACACACTTGAAAAACTTAGACATATGTCTTCACACTGGTATTTTTGCCTACAATGCAACAGAAGAGTAACAACAAAGACTTAAAATAAAATTTCAATTAAGGGATTCTTGTAGCAGCTAATAAAGTACTTCCGTGTTTTCCACATGCATTCTTTAACTACAAAGCCATATCCATCTTCCATTGCTTCTTCAAATTAACAACGAAGTTTGGTGCAGAATTATTTTGGATGGCAAGGATCACATGCCATAGAAACTGTACCTCAAGCACAAGATACCTTCAAAAAGAAAAAAAAAGACAACCCCAAAACACAAGCAGGGGTAATGCTCCAGAGAGGAAAACCAAAGAAGGGTACATAAAAAAAAGTGTTTCAAACACAGTCAAAAAAGGCAATCCACCTCTATTCAGAACCCCTAAAATTTTAAGCGTTGTAAGAGATTCTTGGAACAAACTGCCAAATTTGATGGACTTCCATAATGCAGACTTTGTCTCATTGTTACCCTCGAAGACAACTTAAAGCTTACACTTTAGAAATATATAGGTCAGCTAAATTTTGTGTCAGAGAAAACAAAAGTATTTTAAACACATGAGGTGCCAAACACAAAGCTTTGTTTAAAAGCCTGTAAATTAAAGAGTGAATATTTCCACTGTGCAACCAAAAAACCCTGATGGGGATAAAGGCCCCATCATGCCAGACATATTGCACAGGGCAGAACAGAGCCCTTGCCCTGCACAGCTCAGCACCAGCTTACAGAACAGCTCTGAGGTCCAGAATACGACATTACCACTATGACCGTTTGGACTGAGGAGTCTTTCACTTCAGTTTCAAAATCAGTTTTCTCATGCAAAGTTCCAGTGCAGTGTTACTGTCACCTCCTAAGCCCTTTGCCCATCTCTCTTTTCCGTATTTACCTTTCTTCTGAGCCTGGAACATTTCCAGCTGTTTCTGCTGCTGCCTCCTTAGTGTATTAACAATAGCTATTGCTAGCCGCAGTGCTTCTCGTGGGTATCCATGAGATCGTAACGCATCCACCCTCGCACAGGCTGTAGGTACATGTTCTAAAAGGGAGAAAATAATTGAGCAATAGCAATGCTTCCATGTCTGCCATGGCCTGTTTTACTAGATTATTCAAAAGGGCTTTTTTTTTTTTTTTCCCTAGGGTTGCTTTATTTTTTTTAAACTGTGCAAGAATGACTTAAAGGACTACTTCTGAGCCAGCATTTCAAGGGAGCCTCTGTTCTTTTTGCCAGGCTTCTCATTCATTCCCCCACCATGATGTTGGGGGGAATCATAAAGCCATAGAAAATGAACAAAGCAGCAAGTCATGGAAACGTCTTTCCGGTTTAGCCACTTACCATGCCAGAGGGGCCACCCGTGAGAGTCAAAGAGCAAGTTTTCAGTGTCGTCATGGTAACAGTAGTTGGTGTACAGGTCACTGCTGATAATGTGCTGTAAGTGGCTGTCCTGCCAGTGCAGATCGCATGCTTCAATGGCTCGAGTGAACACCGTCCGATGTGGCCTGCTCGATGAATCTGCCATTTTCACAAGTTCAGAAAGCTGCATCAGCCTTTACTCATTCATATGTGAGCCAGTCATTCACAGTGTTCTTGTCTTCCGCCTATTCAGCAGCCCCCAAATGATGGCAGCTTGCCTTGTCCCACTCTGCACCGAGTAGCCCACAGATGACATTTCACATCCTGCTATTACCCAGCAGCTCAGCCAGAGTGTGCACCACTTGCTTTGTGTTGTGAGAGAGAGATCTGCACACCAGTGTGGCTGATGCTAAATGGGACTTTGCAGAGGGAACAGCTAGAGACAAAGGGCATTCAACAGCACATACAGAACTCCCCTAAAAACAAACTAGAAAGTACATGGCGCACAGCTACTCAAACATCCCCAAGCTCCTCTGCTCTTCAGACCCAAAGCTGCCAGGATGAGGGACAGATAAAAATTGCATGAAAAATTCCTCACTGTTCTCTTCAAGCAGTGATATTAACATTGAGCACTTGCACAACTTTCTTTTTGGTCATAAACATATAAAAATACTGTAAAAAAAGTGAACTACTGAGGTCATGGGACTACCTTAATCCTTACTGGACACCTTGCTATGGCAAAATCACTCTCTCGACAAGGCATTAGGTCTATGAACATTATGGTGCCATGTCAAAGTTACCACTATCCTGCCTGGGTTGGGCTGAACATCATGAGATACAGAAAGAAAAACCTCTCTGAGGGAGTTATGTGCTGAATGGACTTCTGTCCCCAGCTAGCTGTGACGTTTAAAAATGAACCAAGGCTGTTTCCTTCAGAGGTAATCTTCCAAGAAAAAGAAACTATGAAAAAAAAACCTCTAAAGCCCAAATCTGCCACATCCCAACCGCTTAATTTAAACTTTATTGTTGTTATATGAAATACGTTTCAAAACACTGAGGGTTTTGAGGATTATGAGTTTTTTTTTTTTTCCCAGGTAAATATCCTGCATCTTCCCCACTTATTAACAAAGTAGTCATGTCTGCTTGAATAAGACCAGAGAAGTGTTGTACTAGATTTGATAATCACATTTGAGATCAGAAAGCATGATATCGAGTACCAAGAGAACCTTCTCTTGCCTCCTGCACACCCCTCCCCCCCCCCCCCCTCCCCCCCCCCAGCAATGCAGGCTGCACGTACAGAGCACATCCACATATAGCTGCTTTTGTTTGGCACACACTCAGGTTGAATGCAGTTGCAACAGATCTCCCTTTATATAGGTATTAAAGGCTTTGTAACTGCAAACAAAATGAAACACCCAAAACCAGAAGGAATGCAAGATTATAGTCAAGCAAAGAAACAGGCTTTTACATTTCATACTTTAAGGACATCCGATGTTCATGCAACACGAATTTAGAAGCACTGGGTGAAAAGTTAGAAGACCTAACTAAACACAAATAGTAGCTTTGAAAACACTGCAGCTCCAGCACAAAAACCCACCCCACTGTTTTATTCTTTCTGTAAGGATAGCATTAGTTGAAATCATTTTGGATGGTGGGTCCTCCACACGGAAGTTACTTGTCACAGCTCGGAGTGCTGGATTCCGCAAGGCTACAGTACGTAAGGTAGGTTACACTACACGTTGCAGGCAGTGCATATGTTTAGGCTCACCTTGGTTAGCATTTGCACCCTGAGGCAAAGCATTGGTTAAATTGGGCAGCTCGTTTCCATGGTTTCCATCTTCCCAGGGACAAACATCCACACTGTTCCATTTTTTCAGCTGTTTTAGCCAACTGGCCTTCTGCTCCAACTTGCAGTGAGGATTTAAGACTATACACATCCACAGAGCACCTGATTTTAAAAAAATCGCTAAATTATGTTTTCAATTAAAAATGCAGCAGCCAATGACTTAATTGCAAACTTCTATACTGTGACACTTTTCCTCCCCTCAAAGACTACACTACTTGCTTCCCAGCTACACCAGGCAGACTGAGTTCCTGCTGCACAATCTTGGAGCTGGTATGGCCCTTCTGAGGCAGCCGAAAGGAAGTACCAAGCCATCCTTCTCACTTAAAAGGCATTGAGAGGACTTTTGCAGTAGAAAATCCAGAGTTCAGAATGTATGGCTCATCAGACAGGAACATCAGTAAAAAGCAAACAGGAATTCACATTAAGTTACAGCAGGAAATTACTCAAGTTCTTCTTCTAATTTTTGTACCAGAAGTGAATGTTCTTTTCTATAAACAAGATCTACATATCTTCCAGTTTTGTATTACAGGAACTGAAGAAGTGCATTAGTAAGACATGTATTTTGTAAACATACACTTCCACACTCAAAACTCAGCCGAAGTACTGCTGGTCATGTAACTCATTCCCAAGCACATTTGGGTCTCATAAATTCAGTAAACACCAGTTTTGTGCAGTCAAGTAGGAATAAGATACTTTTACTTCAATTACTTTAGTAATTTGGTTACACTACAAAATTTGTTTTACATTTTCTTCTTACAGAGCTTGAAAGAAAAGCTGACTTGCATTGACATTTCACACATACCACCACTCTGGAACCTGCTCCCTGAGACTACACAGCAGGGCAGGCATAAACACATCAGGGTCTCTAGTAACAATTTTCAAATGGGAGGATTTTTCTCTCAATCAGCTGTCTCTTCATTGGCATGAACTTTGACAGAAGCATGAAGGCATCTGAAAGCACTGTTTAGCAACACTTCATTTGCTCATTAACGTGCCTTATACACTATAAGGGATTTAGAGAATATGCGTAAACTATTCAATCTTCATGACAGGCTGAAAAAAAAAATGCAGCTGGTTCTTCCATGAAAATAAAATTCTCACATTCAAGTATTCCTTTGCTAACTAAGAATGCAAAATGGATACCCAGAGCACGGGCTGTCATATTACATTCATTCCTGAAGTAACTTGGCATGTGGGTACGACACACGACAGGAGCAAGCCAGTGGAAACAGCTTGATCCTTCAGGTTGCAAGTCCTCTGCTATTCAGACCAATGTGGAATGGGGAAGTAATAGCAAAGAAATGTGAAAACCACAATGAAATATGGTATGGTACAGTGTGGAACGCCAGAGAGACACTACACTACTGCAGACAGGCACTGCACTGTAGTTCAATACGGCACAGCACTGTCTTGCATTTTCTTTTCTTTCATTGTTTTCTTTTTAAAGCGTCTGAAACTCACCATGAGAGTGAATAAGGAAAAAACTTTTTAAAAAACTCCTTTACAAACTAATCATGTGGCTTTCATCAGACACACAAGCCAACAAGCTTCATTCTCAAAACAGAGTGAAATTACAGGTTGTTCTTATTTAGCAGCAACGCGTTCAGCACCGCCCAAAACAGAACGACTAGACTTCTTGCAGTCTTCAAAGAAAAAACAGATGGGACATACTGGAAAGCATTGGAGAATAGTTAACCTGGGCTTGTTTACTTATTTTCAAAATCAGCTATCACTTGAGTGCACTAAGGAGACACTGTACTTCTCAGCATCTAACAAAAAAAAAAAGCCTATTTAAGACTTGTAACCAGATTCCCAGTGTTTGCAGATTGAAACAAAGCGGAGCATCTTAACCACACTTGGTTTCAATCATCCAGCAAGGCAGAACACACACTGCTGATTACACCACAACCTATAAAATGATGGGCTTTTCTCTTCCCATGTCTCAGAAACACCAGTCGAGGGAAAGGAATTCACTTGCACCTGCCTCCTTCAGAAGCTCCACTACACATGGCTAAGTGATACATCTAAGAGGCAACAGAGGGAAGAGATATCCCAAAGTACCGAAAGTGTTTAAAAATTTCTTTTGTTTAAAGAGGGAAATTATGTCAAGCATAACTACATTGTTGGCAGTGATCATATCAGAAACCCGGGTTATTTCTATGCAAATGAAGCACAAGAATGGGGGTATTTCTAACAAACTTGAAATTTCAATAGAACCCACATGCACCCCGCTCCTGGTGACTTCTGGGTGAGCTGCACGCACATCTGAGATCTCGCCCAGCTTTCACGGCTGCCCAGTTTTCTGCAGGAAGAGGAGCAAGGAGTGTGAGACAAAACTCCCTCCAGAGAAGCAAATGGAACAGAAAGAGCCTCAGGCTCAGCTCCTGTAGTGCTATAAAGGCTACCATCTGGGAGAAGGATGCATAATGCCAATGACCACACAGTCTTTAGTGTATTTGGGTTTCTAGGATTTTTTTTTTTTTGGTTGGGTTTTTCTGTGTGCACAATTTTTTTTTCTTTCTTTTTTCCCCTCCCCCCCTCTACTGTGTGTGCATTTGCCTGTATTCATATTTCTTCCTTCTCCTTAAGTGCCTTCCCCCTCTCCTGACATCTGCTCAGTTTTGGCTCCTTCAATTCACTGGTTCATGCCCTGTTCCTAGCACTGAAAAGTCTGAGTAAAATGTTCACTTGTGCCCAAATTTTAACCACATGCCAACTGGAAGAAGCCTGGAGGATATTCTTCCTAATTCACTCTGATGCTGCTTGTTGGAAGCCCCCCTGAGCTGGCCCTGAAAATGTCACCACCAACCTGAAGCCTCACACTGGTCTTAAGCAAGAGATTCTGTTTTCTGCCCAATGGCTCCCACATGGGGAAACTGCTGATCACACTGAAGGGCAGCTACTTGTAATTTGCTGGGGAAGGTATCTAAATCGATTTCCAGTGACTTCAGCCTAGAAACTGCTCTTTGCAACAGTTGATATTAAAAAAAAAAATTACCAAAATACATTCCTGGCATTCTCAAGTTTACCTGTTTGACTAGATGTAATGATAGTACCAATGCCACACAGAGTATGAACAAAAGTTCATTAAATAAAAAACAATACATAGAATGCTTGCTGTTTAAATACTCTCTACTTTTTTCTTAACACAGTTCATGTCTTCCTGTGTCCCCTTCCCAAGGCACCAGGTATCATTTCATACTTGTTCTCAGCAGGATGACACATCTTCCCCTCTGAACTATATGCTATTAAAACAAAAGTAAATCTCTGACTTGGATCCCTTGACTGTGACCTATGTCACAGCACAGTGGCAAAATAATCACAACCCAATATACAAAAATTATTGCTCAGAAGATAACTGGAAAATAAGACATGTTGGAACTGCAATTTGATACTAATTTCAGAATGGAATGAACACTACAACTGGCAAATCGCAGTGAGGAGCTGCCCATTTTGGTTCAACACTAATCCTCTTCACCTTGAAAAAGCCAGCTTTTCCAAAACAGACCTTTGGTTCAGACAGCCCTCCTTTTGAAATTGCACAGCTGTCATTCACCTTCAGCGTGCCTCACACCACAAAAAAAAAGAAAGAGGTTACATTACTGCTGTACACAATGCATGCCCTCCTTGCACATCAGTACGAGGGAACATCAGTACTTTTGTGTCTCTCAGTTGACATCCATACCTTTGAATTCACGAGAAAAAAGTATAGCATGCCTTTACAATGGTTAGGATTTAAATATGCAAACTGAATAACATTAACAAGTGTTCAGTCATTGTAAAAGTAGATTTTGTAATATGCTACCTTGTCAGGGCTGCTATGCAGCTAAGTGTGGGTCAGTATTTCCTCATTTACAATACCTGTGTAATCAGTGGCTGAGACTTGGCCTTTGCTTTACAATTTTAATGTATTTAAGATCAACCTATTAATTTGCAAAATGAAAATATGCATGCACATCTACTGTGACATTTATTTGCCCTTCCCATTAAAGCTCATCCCTTTCCTAGAAAACAAAAAACGATGAGCTACAAGGTTTAGTAGTATATGATAATTTCAAAGAAAATGGAGCTAGGTGATCAAGATAATTTCCTTTGTGCAACAAACAAATCAGCTTCAGCACTGGCTGCACACTTGTCACTGTGCCCTACTTGAGCCTAATAAATTCTACTACAAAAGCATCATTTTTCAGCATTGGAAGCACCATAATAGAAACAATACTAGGAGACAGAACCTACGACCCCTTTAAAGCAGAAGTGTCAGACAAGAATTGAAGTGGTTTGCATCTGGGTTTTGAACACATATGCACGTTCACTGGGACATCCACTTGGAAGCCTCAAAGAAGGTAGTGTATGGTATTTACTGCTTCTCAGCTAGAAGAACAAGTGCCTTCAGAATGACTGGCAAAGCCACCCTGCTCCTCCAGGCATAGCAAGATCTCTGTTAGAACAAAGCATCACAAGAAATCCCACTGGAGAATGCTCCAACTGAACATTTGCAGTTGCTTTTATGGAAGAGCGAAGATAGGCAAGTGCTGTTCTCTCCTCGCTAAGAACCCTGAGAAAAAGTATTCTCAGCATTCAGTTGGATTCCAGTTGTAATTTTATTCATAAAAGCAATTCCTTAATGCATTCTGGTTTCTCTGTGCAGCCCTCATAAAAAAAAGACTTTCTATGGGTGTTGTGTTTCTTGGAGAACAGAATGTTTCATTTTGCTCTAATTCATTCTATTACTGAATTAAAGTTTGATGTATTGGTCTTGACAAGTGTTTCATGCTGATTGTGTTGTGTATGATAGTATAATCACTCCCCATGCATTTCACACTAGCTGGCTGATTAACGCAATAGATTACCTGCAGCACTGATGGCAAGAGGGAATCATTGCCCTTCTGCAAGCTAAACTCAGAATGCGCATTACAGTGAGAGGAGGAGTAGCCCAGGGACAAACATAAAAAAAAAACAAAACGACAAAACCATCTCATTCTTTAAGTTCCTCTTTGTCTCTTGCTGCACACTGCTGCTCCAAGGGTTAAAGGCATGCATCTATTTGACTGAAAGGAAATATGTATTTACATATCGAGATGCTATTTGAAACTATCATCAACTACATGCTCTGGTCTCTT